CCCCAAAACCCCAAAACCCCAAAACCCCAAAACCCCATGAGATAATTTTCCATTATAAATCAGAAAATGATTTGATATTTAGCAGCATAGATTATTTTAAATTTATGAGTCCTATAAAAAATATTTTAAATCATTATTAGACTATTTATTGGAATGGGTATTAATTCCAAGTATTATTTTTTCAGTCAATTAAAGGCTTTAATCTCACAAGATATATGGGCTCATCAAGGAGGAAAGTATTTAATGGTTTTCTATCAAGCAAATCCTTATCCTCAAATTCAAAATCAATTGAGTTAATAATCACAACTGAGAGGCACTTTATCATACTCTCAGCAAAAGTCTTTCCTAGACAAATTCTTCTTCCACCCAAAAATGGTCCAAAAGACATTGGGTGTCTCTTCGTTCCTTTTGGAGTCAGATAGAGAGGATTGCTAGGATCAAATCTGTCTGGATTGAATTCTTCAGGTCTGATCCATTCATCTTTATTAAAGTGTAGACCGTTCATATTTATGTGCCAAGTTGTTTCTTTCTTAATCATATATTCTCCAATTTTAGTATCCTCCGTAAATACATGTATCCCTGAAACTGGAATAGAAGTCTCAAATCTTAAAGTCTCCATTATGCAGTATTAGAGATAATTGCAATCAGTGAGCGCTTCATAAGTGGCAAGACTTTACCATTACTCGCAATTGATTGTAAGAAAATTTTCAACTTTAAGATCTCTCTTGCATTCTTTTCTAATTTTCTTGATAAGGTCTTAATTTCTGATGAGGAAAAATAATAGATTGGTAATGGTGGTTGCAGAAGTAACATTAGATGCACTGAAGAAAGTGCAGCACTCATCAATAACGACTTTATCCTTGCCTTCAAAGAATGGATTTTGCAATATCATTGTCAAGAAATCTAGCTATGGAATATAGCCTGGTTCTTTCATTTCTTTTTTTCTTTCATCTATCATTGATTAGACATATTCTCTAAATCTTATACAATTTATTCTTGTCTCTCTTTCTTAACTATTAAGTGGAATTTTGTTGAAAAAATCCCAGTTAAGTCTCAATGGATGTGCTAGTTTTTTAAATAGATCATTTAATAGCGTTCTTGCGAATTGACCTGGTACCATTTGTGTTTACTTTCCTTTAATTTGATAGTTCAACTTAGCTCTTTGGCTGCCTTAACCAAATATGGAAACATTTACAACCTCATCAAGCAGCTCTTAAATTTCTCTATTCAATATTATCAATTGTTAGCTAGCATCACTGCTGTTAAGCCTCTCTTTCCAAGTTTAAACTTTCTTATAGGTTATAGCAACTGATTCTTTAAGTATTCTTATGATCTTTTCCTTGTAAAATGCTGAAGTGAGATGTTTTCTCTTATCTGCCCATTCTTGATTTGATTTTTGATTAGCAGATGAATGGCCTTGAAAATCTTCAAGAAACTCTTGAAACTTTTGATGTTTATCCATAAACTTAGATTTAGTTGTATATATCTCTTCTACAAGTTGAGGATTACTAAAGATTAAAATTTGTGAACGAGTTCTACAATCGCATATAATTGGGGGCAAATCTTTTCCAAAGCGCTCTTCCCAGTATTCAAGAATTCCTAATTTACTATATGGAGTTAGTTTTGACATAGAATTAACGAATTAGATTGTATTTTAGATGAAAGGCAATGGAAAATAAGTAGTTGGAATGCCTTATTTCTTATAAAACCAATAGTAGTAATACTGTTTGATTGCATTTTCGTAAATGAAGTAGGCAATCAGTAGATATATGAGATACCAAATCATTAAATGTTTTAGAATTTAGAAAGAGTATTAGCTAGTCTATTTAATAAATCTTTGCTTCAAGAATAATTATTAATTTTTTATAGTTGAAATCTCTCTAAATTTCAAAGAATCTCTTTAAGGGGTTTTGGGGTTTTGGGGTTTTGGGG